AAAACAGGATTTTCATCTTCACTAATTACCAAAGAGAGATCTGAATACCTCATAGGACTTAAGACCCATTGCAGGATGTCTGCATCCATGCCCCTCTCCTGCTGTATACCCGGGTACCCCCTCTTCACTGGGGGCTGCCCCACACTCCTGGTGGTGCCATCCCACTTAGGATCTCAGCACTGGATTCCTGCCCTCTGTTTCTTTACCTTGAAGAACATCCTTCAGATCTCACAACCCGCCTGCTTGCTGATCTTGGGTGATGGGAGACGTGGCAGCCTGATCGAAAAGTCTTCCCAGCCTCAGGAACCCCAAGCTGCCATGGAGGACATAGTTCACACGTCAGCTTCCAAAACTCCTACTTCAAATCTAGATCCCAGCCACTTCCTCGTTGCATAAACTTGAGGGAGTCACATTGCTTTGCTAAGCCTCAGTTTCCCCATTGGTGGGAAAGAGGGTGATAATACCTGCCTCTCAGAGTATATTCATTCAGTATATATCGACTGAGCACCGACTGTTTGTGCTGGGGATATAGCATTGAACAGAACAAACTATCATCCTTGCCTCATTGGAACCCCCAGTCTCATAAGGAAGATAGAGAAAAATCAAATAAATATATGAACTAATGTCAGGGATGAGGAGAAAGAAGACAGGGTCATAGTCAGGGAGTAGGGCTGGAGCTCCTTGGTGAGTGTAGTCATGGAAGGCTTCCCAGAGGAGGTGGCATTTGAACAGAGATCTGAATGAACCGAAGAAGCTAGCCATGCAAATCTGGGGGGAAGAGCATTAGAGGCAGAGGGAACAGCAGATGCCAAGGCCCTGGGATGAGAAACAGCAAGGAAACCGGTGTGGCTGGCAGGGAGTGTGTGAACAAGAGGAGAGAGATGGGGAGAACAGACTGTAAGAAATCTCGTTTTATCCCAAATGTAGCAGGAAGAAAACCTTAAGTTAATCACCGGGGAAACCCTCCTATGTTGTGTGTCCTTGCATGTGAGAAAAGCGGACAGGCACACTCTAAAGCCACCCTCCTGTCCATGACCGTGGTCTGGGTCCTTTCAGTGGAAAGTGTCCTACTGGCATCGAAAAAGGTTAGTGGTGGAAGTGGTGTCCAGGTTGTAGTTCCCAAGAAATACCACCAGGTGGCAACTCTGGGTCGCGTTTCTAACTTGTGGGTTGTTGATTGATTCCAGAGCCGTGGTTCCCAAACGTAGGCATCCTCAGCATCACTTGGACGGCTTGATAGAACACCGATTGCTGAGCCCCACCCTCAGAGTGTCTGATCTGCAGGTCTGGGGTGGGGCCCAAGAATCTGCGATTCTAACGCGTTCCATGCGATGCTGATGCTGCTGGTTTGGGGACCACACTGTGAAAACCTCTGCTTGGAGCCCTGAGACAGAAACCATGTGGGGGTAATGGAGGCGTCTGACCAAAACATTCCGTATCTTCCTATTATATTTAGATTAAGTCTAGGTCTCTTGCCAGATCTCCCTCTACCCGCACCACCCTCACCACAATTCGGGTCCTGCTGACTTCCCGCACACCATCTCCTGCCACTCTCTAAACAATGGCCACACTGTTTCTCTCTGTTCCCTGAAGCCTGTTCCTGCACCAGGGCCTTTGCACATGCTGTACCTCCTACCTGGGATGCCTTTCCCACAACTTTTCCATTGGCTGGCCTGCTCTCATTCCTCATGCCTGAGCTTGAATGTCCCCTCTTTAGGGAGGCTTTCCTCTGCTGGCGAGGAAGCTGGTGGCTCTGCTCGTGTTCTTTTCCTTTTAGGTGCTTGCGGTGATTTGTAATGAGTTAGCCTCTACCTTGGTTAATTTTCTGTCTCCTGTCTAGATCCTAGGCCCTGGAAGGAGGGACTGGTCTGTCTCGTTTTCTGCTTCATCCCACGTGCCCAGGACAGTGTGTGGCAGCAAGTAAGTCCCCAGGAAATCATTGTTGAGTAAGTGAAACTATAAAGACTTGTCCAGGCTGTCCAGAGGGTCAGCAGGTGACTAGGGGCTCCATCTAAAGGATACTTCTGGATTGTGTGAGGTTCAGCAGTGCCTCACCCTAGTGCCAGCCTTGCTGATCAGAGAGCTCTGGAAGGACATAAAGATAAATAAGACCATACACAAATAAGCCAAGAAGCTATACTACACAAATGAGCCAAGAGGCATTCAGCACTTTAAAATTTATAAATTCCTCCTACCTCCATTATTTCAATACAGCCGCGTGTTTAAAAAAAAAAGTATCCCAAACTTGGAAATAATGCCAGAGGAGGACCACACGTCCTTTCAGCAACATGCTGGAGCATGGTCCAACAGGTTGGCCCAAGGGGTACCTAACTCTCTGGGGGAAGAGATCTTGGTTTCACCTGTCATACACTAATATTTAGGGCCCACACTTGGGGAAGTTGTGTGTTCCCCTTGTAGATGTAAGTTGCAAATCCTTTTTCTCCAGTAGAAAAGACCATTCCAAAGGTTACAGTTGTTTTGTCCTGTACGACATTAACCAGTTTCATAATCTTTGCTTTTTTTAAAGATTTATTTATTTATTTGAGAGAGAGAGAATATGAGCAGGAGGGGCAGAAAGAGAGGGAGAGAGAATCTCAAGCAGACACCCCACTGAGTGTGGAGCCAGATATGGGCCTCAATCTCATGACCCTGAGATCAGGACCATGAGATCATGACCTCAGCCAAAACCAAGAGTTGGACACTTAATCGCCCCGACTGTGGCACCCAGGCGCCCCAACCAGTTTCACGATCTTATCTCCGTGTTTTGCCTTCCATTGGCTATCGACATTTCAGCCGCCCTTAAATGTTTTGAACCAGCCTCACCGTTCTGCTGATGAGTTAATACTAATGGATTACATATGATTTGGGCAAGTGCTCACTTTTTTATTTGGATGCCAGCCATGGTTTAACTTTTAAAAAATTAAGCTTTGGGGACCAGCACCATCTTTGTGAGAGGGGCTGATCCTTCCTATTTTCCAGAAGAGTTTCGTGAGGCTCAGAGAGATATAGAGTGATTGTCTCCCTGAGCAGAGACAAAATTGGCTCTCAGCCCTAGGTCGGCCTGACCTCAGAGCTCCTAGTCCCTCAGTGATGCCTTCTCTGTGTGCCCACTGTTCTGGGCATTTTATAAACTGTTGCAACATAATTCTCACAGCTCAACAAATCTCATGAAGCTTTGCCTGAGCCTCCAGGCCATTTTAGAGATGAGGAGACTGAGGAGTAGGGCTGGGAATGAAGTCACCCAATGTCAGAGCTCTTTGAAGGCATTCTGGTCAGACAGATTTGAGTTTCATCTCTGGCTCGCACTCCCCCTAGCTACACGACCTTGAGTGAGTTGCTCACCTAATTGCTCTGAGTCTCATTTTAAGATGGGAATAAGAGGGGGTGCCTGGGTGGCTCAGTCGTTAAGTGTCTGCCTTCAGCTCAGGTCATGATCCCGGGGTCCTGGGATGGAGCCCCACATCAGGCTCCCTGCTCAGCGGGAAGCTTGCTTCTCCCTCCCCCATTCCCCCTGCCTGTGTTCCCTCTCTCGTGTGTCTCTGTCAAATAAATAAATAAAATCTTAAAAAAAAAAAGATGGGAACAAGAGTCCATCCCGTGCAGTAGCAGTTGACGATATATCTGAACTAATCTAGGCCTGGGGCCCCCGAGGCTCTCAATGCCTCTCTTGTTCTGGAATCAGGAGGGAAAGGGATCTGGCATTGGCTGCTCCCGGCCTGGATGGAATCAGAAGGACCCTGGAAGGGTAGGCAAATGCCTGAGGAGAATGAGGGAGAGAAGTTGCTGAGCAGGAGTTCCTGGAGTACTCAGGTGGGTACAGGTATGGAGGTCTGAACAGGGACCCCGGTCTGTCAGCCAGGGACCGAAATGGAGCCTGGGCTTTGGGGTCAGGCCACCTAAAGCTCTCTGGGTTTGTAAACTGGAATAATAATGACTCTTCCCTGTTTTGCATAACTGCGAGGTTCCCTGGGGGATAGTGGGCTTAGCTGGAGGGGTGCTATTCTAGAATGTTCTCTGGCACCTTACCCCTGTCTCAAAGGAGATGGACTTTGACTACGGCCTTTATCAAACCTGAGGATATTATTGATGCTGTAACGATAAAGATAATGATGGTAGATAACATCTGGGATAGATTAGGGGTCACTATGAGGTTCTCCCTCAGAGTTCTGGGTTCGTTGGGTCAGAAACCCGGCACAAATACACAGCCAAGGGTGCTTTGGGACTTTGCAATTTACAAAGCTGCTCCACATCATTGTGTTGCATCCTTGCGTCAAGACCAATTCTGACACATAGAGGGGTTAGTGACTTGCCTAAGGCTACACAGCTAGCAAGTAGCCCAGCTGAGACTGGAGCACAGGGCGCCTAGTTCCCCAGCTGGCCTCTGAGTGGAGAGATGGGTCACCCAGCAAGGCAGGGGCTGAGAGGCCTGTCGAGGGACCTGGGACTCCTGCCTGGTCCCTGTTCCCCAGACCTGCCCCCTGGAGGTGGCTGGAGGGGAGGGGAGTGTGGTGGTGGGGTGCTGAGCCTGAGGTGGAGGCTTTCAGGCCCAGGCCAGGAGAGCGGGGAAGGGGAGGATGCAGGGAGTTCCTCCCGCCCCCCCCCAGAGCAGCTGAGGGGGAAGATGAAGTCCAGAGGAGGCTCAGGCCAGAGGGAGAGGAGAGGAAGAGGCTGGAACAGCTGCAGGGGGAGGAAGCAGAGTCTAGAGTCCCAGGGGAGAGAGCTAGGGATGGGGTGGGAGCAGGCCAGGCCCTTGGCCCAATGTTCTTGTCCCAGGCCCTCCTGCCACTCCAGACTCCTCAGGTAGCATGATCCCGAACCGGGGAGAGGTCTCCCTTCCACAGATGCCCCCATCATTCCCGTGCCAGGTGGTACTGGGACCACTGGGGGAGTCCAGGGTCCCTGCCCCTCAGGACTCACACATGCTGGGCCCAGCTGAATGATCAAATGAATGAATTCATGCATTCACTCATTCATTCGACAAAGATTTATGGAAGGCTTACCGTGTGCCAGGCTGGGCTCCCAGCAGGAAACAAAGCCCCTGTGGAGAGAGAGGAAGGCTCCTAGCTCATGGGGAGATGGACAAAACACCGAAAACAAGTCAGTGTACAATATCACATCAGGCTGTACAGTCAGTGAGGGCGTGATGAGTGGTTGGAGCAGAGCAATTTCATGAGGATGGTCAGGGAGGGCCTCTCAGAGAAGCTGACATTTGGGCAAAGACCTGAAGGAGGTGGAGCAGCATCTGTGTGAATCTGGGGAAAGAGCACTGTAGGTAAAAGGAATAGCCAGTGCAAAGGCCCTGGGGCAGGAACGTGCCTGGCATAGGGGGAAGGGTGAAAGGCAAGGAGGCCAGTGTGGCTGGAGACTGGTTGAGTGAAAGGAGTGATGGAAGATGAGAGCAAACTGGGGGTGTCAGGGGACAGGGAATGCAGGGCCTCAGCTATTTCTCCCATAACATTGGGAGATGTTGGAGAGCTTTGAGCAGAGGAGTGCTTGATGTGTCTTGGGTTTTAATAGGATTCCCCATTGCTCTGGCTGCCACAGGGGAAAAGAGGAGGTGGGGCCGGCGAGGGCTGGAGCAGGGGTCCCAGGAGGAGGCTGATGCAGCTGGCTGGCTGGCTGGTCGTGGAAGATGGCAGCTTGGCCAACAATCGGAAGCACTAAACAGCAACAGAAATAAAAACATATTGCATGCTTATGATGGGTCAGGCGCTCTTCTAAGTGCTTGACATTTACTGCTTTTTAAATCCTCACTACACCTTTTAGGTAGATAGCTTTTTCCTTAACGCATGATCTCCTTTTCCTCCTTTTTCTTTTTTATTGAGGTGAAATTCACATAACATAACATTAACCATTTAAAATGCACCTTTCCGTGGCATTTAGCACATTCATATTTCGGCACAACCGCCATCTCTTCCCTGGTTCCAAAACATTTTAATCAGCGACCGAATACCCCGTACCCATTAAGGGTAACCAGTATTTTTTTTTTTTAGTAGGCTTCACATCCAATGTGGGGCTTGAACTCATGACCCCAAGATCAAGAGTCCCATGTGCTACCACCCCAGCCAGCCAGGGGCCCCATGGGGTAACCAGTATTTTTAATCCTCACTTTACGGATAAGCACGCGGAGACACAGGCGGGCAGAGGCACCTGGCCCGGGTCACACAGCCAGGAACTGGAACAAGCAGGCTGCAGGTGTTGGGAGGAATGCCTCCATAAACTCCCTGGAAGGGCTCAAACCTCTTCGGGCTCCTCAAGATAACAGCACCAAACTGCCTTCTAAGGAGGGTGTGCCCGCGCCTCTGCTGGGCTTTTGTTTCATGGAAAGGGTGGGGAACCTTTGAGGCCAGGAAAGAGGGGACCGCTGGGAAGGCTGACCAGGGGCTCCAGCACACCCTCTCACAGGGCAGACTCCCACTTGCCAGCGAAGCACTCTGGAGCAAGAACCCTCCTCCTTACCGTTCTCTGTTCTGGGAAGTGGGGATGAGAGCACCCCCAGCACTGGGTGTTTAGGGGAAGATGAGTTACCCACGTGGAGCTCAGTGCGGCCCACGGTAGGTGCTCAGCACCCAGCAGCCTGCGTTCGCTTTGCAGCGCCTTCTGCTCCCGGAAACCAGCCAGACAGGTACCTACAGGCAACCTCAGGGGTAGGTCTTTGAACCATCTGGGAGGAGGCATCCTCTAGGACCAGAAAGAATGCAATCTGACTCGTAAGCGATCATAAATTCTCAAGGTTGACGGGATGGTGCCAATTTTTTAAAATCAAATGCATCGGGATGTAATTAACATAAAATCCGAGGTACCCAAGGTTATCCATTTTAAGTGTATCTTTCCATGAGTTTTGACAAATGTATATATATCCTGTGTAACCACCACCTAATTAGGATGCAGAACATTTCCATCACCTCCAAAAAGCTCTCTTGGGTCCCTCACCCATCAACCCCACCTCCTGGCCCTCGGCCACCACTAATCGGGTTTCTGTCACTCTGGCTTAGTTTTGCCTCTTCTAGAATTTCTCATAAGTGGAATCAGACAGCACATACTCTTTGTGCCAGGCTTCTTTCCCGCCTCTTGCTGTCTCTGGGATTCCTCTATATTGTTGCACAGATCCACTGTCCCTTTCTTTTCATTGCTCAGGAGTGCCCCACCAACCAGTGCTTGAACATGTCCAGTGGGTCACTTTTCATTCTGTGCAGAGCCTGCCCTCATGCAGGTCCAGAAACCATCTGCTTTCCCCTCCGGATCCTTGGGTGCAGCTCCACCACACGTGAACCCATCTCCACAACCCATCCATCATCTTCATCTTTCCGTGGGACTGCTATGGTATGGACACCAGCTTCAGACTTGAGAGCTGGTGGCTGGGGAGGGGAAGGGAGCAGATGTGGGCTTGTGACCGGGGGACCCTAGGTCTAGACAGGAGCGCCACCCAGGCTGCTCCTCACTGTGTGGTCTTCAGTCAGCGATCTTGGGTCCTTCCCTCGTCTGCTTCTTTGTCCCTCCAGTGGGATGAATGTGGCTGCCTCATTGAGAAGCTCCCAGGAGATAACTTTGTCCATGGTGAGGGGAGGAGAGGCCTCCAGCAGGAGGCAAGGATTTTACTACATAGGTATTTATTGAGCACTGACTACGTGTCAGGCACTGTGCTTGGTTCTGGCGGATGTGATGGCAAACAAGAATGTCACTGTCCTTGCTGTCAGAGCTACAACAATGGCAGGAGAATGGGGAGGCAGAGGAGGGCATCGCTGGCGGGGGGCATGGCATAAACATGGGTGAGGAAAGGAGGCATCACCCAGAGTTGGGTCGGTGGTGGCTGGCAGTGCAGGGATGGGGAGGGGGAGAAAGTCTCCCACCCCAAGCCACGGCAGAACACGTGAGAACCTCAGACATCAAGTTCAGTTCATCTTGCCCAGAAGAGCGGGAACCCCTTTTGTACAGAGGCAAGAAAGGAGCCCTCCCTGCTCGGCTGGGGGGCACCACCTGTTCCTGTCACATAGCTGCTCTTGACTGGGAGCCCCAGCCTTTGGCTGGGACCCTCCCCAACAGGGACCCACCTCCCCAACAGGCCAGGACCCTGGCAGAGTGTCTGGGTGCTCATGACAGCATTTCTCACCTGGACCCCCAAATTAATTCCTGCTTGGCCTTGGGAGGTGGGGGGAATCTTTCCTTGTCGAGTCCCCAGGACCCTGTTCTCTGCCTCTGAGGATGAGGGCCTGCCCTGTTTAGGAGTTAACAAGGGACCCCTGTGTGAGTGTGTGTGTGTGTGCATGCGTGTGCATTGTGTGAGTGGATGCGTGCACCAGCGTAAAGCATGAGCGATCACTTCTGCCCGGGGCCAGGCAGCTGGCCTAATGGTCCATTTCCCTCTGGTCTGGAGGCCTCCTCTGGGCCCCCAGCTGCCCTGATGGGCCAGGTTAGCCCCCCCCACGGGAGCCCCCAGCCACTCCCCACTAGGCTTTCCTTGTATTGTGCACCGCCTGGTTCCTCGAGGAAATGGGGCGGCTGCTGGGTGCGGGGGCGGCCGCCAGGAGCCCCACCCCCTTCCCCCCATTGTCACTCCTGACTTTGGCCCCTAGCCCCTGCTGTGGACACTAAAAATAGTCCTGTTCACATTGAGACGGGCCGCACCCCTGAGCGGGCCTCTAGGCTGGGTGTGAGGTTGGGGTTGCCAAGACAGGGCTGTCCCCAGGGGGTAAGGTAGCCCTACCAAGTGACCCGGGTGAAAAAGCACATAAGGGCAGTGTGACCCCAGGTGGCCTTCTCCCCCTCTCTGAGCCTCCGTTTCCTCATCTGTAAAATGGAGAAAAAGACACCTACCTTCTGGGGTTGCTCCTGGGAGTCAACAGTCCTAGTGTTCTATTTTTGTCCTGCCTGGCTATTGGTTCTGCCTGAGTATCTGCAGGGCCAGGGGCAAGAGGGCACAGAGAGGAGGCATCACCCAGAGTTGGGTCTGTGGTGGCTGGCAGTGCAGGGATGGGGAGGGGGAGAAAGTCTCCCACCCTAAGACACGGCAGAACACACCCCATTCATCCTCACTCCTACCTTTAGTGACTGCCAAGGGCTCCCCATGTTCCCCAAGCAGAGGAGCTTCTGGGCTGGAAGAGCCCACCTGGGAGTCCAGAAGCATCTGCAGGTCTACTGAGCGAGACCTGGCAGGTTCTTTCTGTCTGAGATCATTGAGAGCCCACGCTGTGAATTGAGTGGCCAGGCTGGGACTTGAACCCCTATCTCCAGCCTCTGAGCGCTGTGTTTTTTCCGCTTTAAGGGGCTGCCTCCATGCTGATGACTCTCAGCACTTCCTGGCTGGGATAACCCTGCCTTGCAGTCCACAAACACATGATTCATCCAGAAGGAAGATGCTGGGCAGTGGGTGTTGAGGCCTGAGCTGGGGGCTGGGTATTTCCCCTTGAGCCTGAGTGGGTGGACAGCCGCCCTCAGATGCACCCAGGGCCACAGAGCTGGGACTGCAAAGGGGTTTACCGGCGTCTGCCTACCGAGTTCTCCCTCTCCCTCTTTCTTCTTCCTTTTTTTAACCATGAGATAGTTCAAATTTTCAAAAACTGTTGCCACCAGAGCCCCAGCCATCTTTCCAGAATCTGAGCTCTTTCTGAATATACACGGGTATGAAAAAAAAAAAAAAAAAAAGGACTCAGAGTGTTGAGTGACAGGTCTCCCTCAGACACCAGAGATGACCCCTGTTTGGGGCCCCTTGCAGGCATTTGAGGGCCATCGAGCAAATGTAGATGCCCAGCCTGGTTCGGACGCAGACACTGGTGTATCCTGCTTTTCGTACTGCACTCAGCACTGTGGGTTTTTTTTTTTTTTTTTTTTTTTTTGACAGAGAGAGACACAGTGGGAGAGGGAACACAAGCAGTGGGAGTGGGAGAGGGAGAAGCAGGCTTCCCGCAGAGCAGGGAGCCCGATGCGGGGCTCGATCCCAGGACCCTGGGATCATGACCTGAGCCGAAGGCAGACGCTTAACGACTGAGCCAACCAGGCTCCCCTCAGCACTGTGTTTTGACAGTGTTCCAAGTCAGTATACAGAGGACTTCCCCATTTAAAAATAAAAATGGCCTCATATAAGGCAGGGATTTTTCACTTTTTGTACCATGGACTGCTTTGGTATCTGGGGAGGCAATAGATCAATTTTCATAATCATGTTTTTTTTAAGCGCGTAAAATAAAGTACATAAGATCACAAAGGAACCCAGTTACCCTGAGATGCTGTTACCACAGTAGTCCCAAGGGTCTGGGAAACAGTAACACATGGGTTTCTTTATTAGCACAGTAAATGAAAGAAGTGGATGCTGGCCTCAGGTCGCGATGAGCGTAAACCATTTGTGAGGCTGTCTGCAGCCACTGATTTGTCAGACCGAAGTGTCTTTGCCTCCTTATTGTGACAAGGTCACTTCTTTTTTTTTAATTTTTTTTTTTAAAGATTTTATTTATTTATTTGACAGAGAGAGACACAGCGAGAGAGGGAACACAAGCAGGGGGAGTGGGAGAGGGAGAGGGAGAAGCAGGCTTCCCGCCGAGCAGGGAGCCTGATGCGGGACTCGATCCCAGGACCCTGGGATCATGACCTGAGCCGAAGGCAGACGCTTAACCGACTGAGCCACCCAGGCGCCCCGACAAGGTCACTTCTAACCTTGCCATAGCTTGTGGTCCACATTCACACTTGGAGGAAAGGTTGCATTGCAGACAGAGGCTAGTGAATATAAAGTTGTGAATTTTTTCCCATTCAACTTCACAGAGTCCCTGAGTCCTGGGCCCCAAACGAAGAACTAAAAAGTGTGACTGTCCCTCACTTCATTCAGCCAGTCTCTTAATGAAAAGTTACCACAAGTCAGCATTTCTTGAAATCTTGCCATTACACAGAGGGGGACACTGAGGCCCCAGCTGGAGAATGGGCTGGGGTGGCCGAGCCCAGTGTCCTGACTCTGGCCCAGGCTCTTGCCCAGCTCTTCCCCAAACAGGCTGGTGGCAGGGAGCCCATCTGCCCGCCAGGAGCAGGTTGGCAGCTGGTGTCCTGTCCCGAGAGTGACCCGGCCCCGCCTGCGCCCTGCACCCTGCCCTGGCCAGCACAGCTGTGGATGGACAGGAGGCTTGGCTCGCATTCACCCAGGCACATTCCTGGCCCAGCCGCTATTTTTTTTTTTTTTTTTGGTGACTCTTTCTCCCACACCCCGCACCCTCACCCCCCCTTTTCCTCAAAAATGCTCTGTCCCTCCCCAGAGGGTCCCTTTGGGTGGCGGCTCCTGGAGGGAAATGTGGCCTGGATTTCCTGGAACACATGGAGCTGGAGTTCCAGCACTGGGAGGAGGGGAGATGCTGGGGACAGAGCAACAGCCCCACGGCCCGCATAGCTGGGTTCTCCTGAGCAAGGGGGTGAGCTGGGGCCCCAGTAGTCCCATGCCACTGTGCCCTCGGAGCAAAGACGCTCCCACAGCTGTGATGGGCTGCTAGGAGTGAGACGCCCCCCACCCCCCAGGGAATCGGGGCTCTGTGACCCTCGAGGCTCTGTGACTTTGCTGAGCTCTGATTTCCTTGTTCCTGAGAGTGGGGTCTGTGGTCAGGACTCGCCAAGGCTGGTGGACAGTCCAGGGAGGTGATGGCTGGGTGTGGGCCCTCCCATACCTGAAAGCCCGGCACCAGCAAGTGAGGTGTTTGGGGGATGCCACTGGGGCCAGGGGGCAGGGGACTGGAGATCTTTCGTCCTTCTATCATTCGTCATTCGTTATGTGACCAATGATTCCTGAGCACTTACCGTTGTGCCGAGCACTGGGGCTCAGTGGTGAACAGAAGGGACCAAGTGTGAGTTGCCCTCCTCAGGCTCACACACAAAGGAATGTCTCCTCTGTGCTCAGGCGGAGGTGACGACCATGGGGAAGAGTAATGCAGGTGCAGGACTTTGAGGGGGGCCTCTGCCGGGCCCCATGTGAGCAGAGCAGGAGTGAAGCAGGACGCCTTGCCTGGTGGGTGCCCAAGGCTCTGAGGTGGGAGCTGGGAGAGGCAAGGGCTAAGGCTCCATTCACGGGAAGCTGCTGGGCTCTGAGTGAGCAGTGACGCCGTCCGTGAAATGACCCGCCCGGGGGCTCCTACGGGAGATGCCTATGTGGAGCCTGGGCTTGGCGGCTGACCAGCTGGGAACCCGGCCACGGCTCCCTCCGGGCTCTGCAAGCACGGGCAAGATGCTTCTCCTCCTCAAGCCTCAGTTTCCTCCTCAGTAAAGTGGAGCTCTTAGGATTTAAATGGTTAAGAGGAAGGAACACAAAAGTCCACGATGGGTGCTGATCTTTCTTGGGTCTCCAAAGAGTGAAGCCACTCGCTTGGAGGCAGGTGCCAGTGACGGAGCCAAAGGCTAGCTTCGAACCCGGATGTGGGTGCAGCTTTAAAGGAAGCTGCTCAGCTCTTCGGGACATATGGGGTCATGACCTGGGATGGGGATATCCCTGAGTCGTCTGTGGCTCTTTTTGTCTTCTGGGTATAGAGCTGGATTTAGGGGAGCCTCTGGGGTGAGAGGAGAGGGGCAAGGAACCACCCTGAGACGCATGGGGGAAGGGCAGGCCAGGGGTGCCCCTGAGTTTCTCTCAGTCTCAGGTGCCCTTCCAAATGCTACCCCTCCTAGAGGGGTGGGGACCCATCTGGTGTGCTCTGCCTACTTTCCTCTCTTCCCTGCCCTGAGCCTCCGTTTCATCATCCGTGAGATGCACACAGCAAGTCCCAGCTCTGACAGTGATGAGGAGGTTTGGGAAAGCAGGTGCTTGGACAGGACCCCACTGTTGAGAAGGAGGGAACCCACCTGCCAGGCACAGTGCTAAGCACTTTCATGCATTAGCTGCAAGCTGATGGGCTCATGTCCCTCTACCGACACCTGCTGTGGCTTCACTTTTGTTCTCCAGATAAAGAGCAAACTCCTGTTCCAGTCGTGCAGGTCTCCTGGCTCCTAATGCCAGCCCATTCCGGCATCCAGGCCTTTGCACGGCTCCCCGCACACCTTCCCCTTGGCCTAGTAAACGTCCACTCCCTGTTCAGCTCAGCATAACTGCCTCTTCCTAGAGGAAGCCCACCCTGACCCGTAGACCAGCCGGAGCCCAGTGTTGCACAGTCTTTGTTTTTGTTTTTTTTTTAAATAGATTTTATGTATTTATTTGGTGGGGGGGCAGGGCCAGAGGGAGAGGGAGAGAGAATCTGAAGCAGACTCCTTGCTGAGCAAGGAGCCCAACGCGGGGCTTGATCTCATGACCCCTAAGATCATGACCTGAACCAAAACCAAGAGTCAGATGCTCAACCAACTGAGCCACCCAGGGGCCCCCAGTATTCCACAGTCTTAGTGGTGCTGCCTCCTCTCCCGGCCACCCCCATCACTGTTGGAATGTCATGTCCTGGTGCACTCACCTGGTTATGGGCTCTCTCCATGTTAAGACTGTGTGTTCCATGAGGGCAGGAACAATGTCTCCTTTCCAGCTGTATCCCCAGCATCCAGCACAGTGCCCAGTAAATGCCTGATGGATGAATGGAGGGATGGAATCCTCTTGACAACCAGAGGAAGGAGGTGGCATCATTCCCCTTTTATAGATAAAGAATCAAAGGCACAGAGAGGTTAAGTAACATGGCCTGAGGTCACACAGCCAGAACAGAGCCAGAATCAGATGGTGTCTGTCTGGGGATGTCTCCCTGCCAGTGGAGCCCAGGAGGTGGGCAGATGGGGTGGTGCAGAGAGGAGCTGGGACCATCTAGACAGGGAAGGGGTGTTGGGGGGAGCCCCACCCATCCGTGTTTTCTCAATGATGGTGGTTTGTGGCTGTTTTCCTCAAAAGCGACTCAGGTGACCTTCAGGTTGGGGCCTGCAGCAGTCCCAGGGGCTAGCTGGGTGGAGGGCCCGGTCTGGCTGGGTTGCTTTTCTCGCCCCTTTGTCCGCCCTCTGGCTTCACGCACAGATTACAACTTCCCCTCCTCTGCTGTCTTACGCAGGCCACCTCCGGCTGGCCATTGTCTCATTGTTTGCTGAGGGAAGCTCCAGGAGGAAATTAACCTGCTGCTCACCCCAAGCAGGGAGTTGCACCCCCCAGTCCCCACTGGGAATGCCTGGGGGCCTGGCAGGAGGGGGCGGGGGAGGCTAGTAGACAATACAACAGACAGCCTTGAAAGGGGTGAGCTCCCAGGCAGAGAAAAATGCAAACAGAGGCTACATTGACTAGCAAAGTTTATTAGGTCCTATCATGGG